AAATTGAAAATTTAGTAGCCGCAAAACAGTAGTTTCGTAGTTTGCAAAAATTGTATTTTGAGCTTTAGTGACCATTTTATCAATGTTATGAGTCAATTAAAGAATAAAAAACTTTTATAAAATACAATCAATCCGGTCAAAATCTGGTCCCCCTCCCCTCCCTAAAAAAAAAAAAGGGGAGGAGAGTGGATTAATTTTTTTTGGATTTAGCCAAAAAATTTCCTGTAAACACCCCTGCAGTTAGCAGCTTTACAAATAACATGGTAGAAAGAAACTGATCACCCTTTTCAGGGAAAACCCATGAAAAACCATGATTAAACCATGATTTTCTCATGAAAAACGGAAATTTCATGGATAAATTTCAATGAAAATTGAAATCCTATGGAATTTCCATGGGTTAACCATGTTTTTTTTTTTCATAGCTCATGTTGCACCATTAGTTTTACAAATGGGTTTTTAAAGATGGCGTCATTAGTCGTAGAGCTACAATTATTTATAACTAGAGTAAGCAATATTTTCTGCATTCTTCTGTTTTTCTGTATTTAATAAGACTAAAAATTATATGTTTTTTATAATGCATCACATTTAATATGATTTAAACTAAACATACAGACATAAACAACTAAACATATTTGCAATAGTTAGAATATGATAAATGTATGCATTTTATAATGCATCATAATATGATATTATCAGAGATGTTGGTCTTGAGCTAAAATAAGTATATGCATAAATAGTATATAATTAAATATATAAAAAATAAATGTATAAATGCATATTTGTTGTAAACCAAATTAAAATTAATAATCAAACTGATTTACTTAATCAGTTTGATTTTTAATGTTTATTTGGTTTAAAACAAATAAACTTTTAGTTTTAATGTACATTATTTAGTTTTAATGTACATTAAAACTAAATAATGTACATTAAATATTATTTTAATTATTATTATAAAACTTATCGAATATATAAGATAATCTTAGATAAGTAGTGTATCGGATAAGCTTAAATAAGCAGTGTATCAGATAATCTTAGATAAGCAGTGTATCGGATAAGATTAGATAAGCAGTGTATCGGATAAGACTACATAAGCAGTGTATCAGATAAGATTAACTAATGTACAAAAGATAACTAGTACTGTCTTTATTAATTTTTTTAATGGCTTTAGTTTGCATAAAAATGTTTGAACACTTTATTATATGGTAAATGTTTATTAAGTGTTAAAAATTATGGTATTATAAAAGAATTTACCACTTGAACATCTAAGTATAAGTTTTAAGAAAAAAATTCTGAAATTTTAAGAAATAAATTTTTAGAAATTAATTAAAAAAAAAAAATTCCAAAAAATTAAAATCATATGTTTTTGGTACATGCAAAAATTGTTATTTTGTTGTTTAAGTCATGTTAATCCCAACACATTTGCACAAATGAAAATCACTTTGCAATCATTAAAATTTCAAAAATATACGCAGAATATAATAATGTACTAGAAAAAAAAATTAAAAAAGTTTCCAACCGTGCAATGACTCTGAATCAATAACAAATTATTGATATGCAAATTGCATTATCTCCAAATCAATAATTTTGTAACTAACAGGCAAAACTATCAAAGTCAACCAGCGTATAAATGTCACCCCGTTTTACGGTAGTTAACGGAATTGCTTATTTTTAAATTAAACTTTATATTAACGGAATTTATCAAGGGGCTTGGCGATAATACATTTTAGTCTTCTTTAGCCTCTGCTACCTATATATCTTGTTATTAACATACGGATTGTATATAACAACATGGAAAAAAAAAACATAACTTTTTATAAAATTGTTCGATTTTAATAAATTAGTTTTACATAATAGGAAAAGTGAGTATTTATAAAGTAAGTGATCCATTTAAAAAAATCTTTTTTTACTAAACCAGATTGATAATCTGTTTTGAACAGAGTTGTCAACAGATTCAAAGAAATAAGTGGCAGTTTCTCCATCTACTTTTTTTGTTGAACGCAATACAATTTTCCATATCAAAGATGCTCAATATTTATAGTGAGTATTTTTATCTAAATAAAAAAAAGGGGATGTTTTATATTAATTGGTTTTTGTAGTTCTAAGAAAATTGCTGTAGATATAACATAGATTAGGAAAAGAACACTTATAATACAAAAAAATCTACATTATTTTTTTTTTGAAATCTGTAGTATATTTTTTGTTCTATATGTAAATCTAGGTTTAGTTTAGTGTGAACAGTTATCAAAATTTATTTCTTAGCGAAACTACAGGAGGAAAAATCAACGATTGTTCTCGAGCCCAGTCCAAAAAAAAATAAAAAGGAATTTAGTAATGGTAGGTCAATGCAGATTAGTATGTAATTTTAAGTTGTTAATTTTTTAAAGCTACTAAATTTGCTAAAACAAGACTGCAAATATTTAAAAGTTTAACCGAGCCGGGATAGCGCAGTTGGTTAAAGCGCTGCTATAAAGTTAGGAATAATTATTGGCCGTAGGAGCAGGATTGCAGATTCAAATCCCTGCTCCGCCTACTAAAAATATGAGTAGTACTTCGGTACGAAGGGAACTCGTCTCGATTAGCTCTGCTAATACGATGTTTCCTTCTCGACTAGAAAATAAATAATCTAGTCGAGTAAAAGAAAATAATCGTTTAACATTCCAGCATGTTAAACTTTTAAATATTTGCAGTCTTGACTATATTAGCTAGATTTGCTGTCTGCCCCCGGCACTTGGTTCTACACAAGAAGTAATTGCTGATATATAAAGTGCTGATATAAAAAGTAAGATTTCAAAAATATTGATGCAATTGCTAAGAGTAAATGTCAAAAATGTCATATTTTTTCGAGAAAACCTTAATTCATTCACACCAGTTATTATGTTTGTGTATGTATCTAAACAAACCCTGAATTTTACAAGTTATTCTATTTATTTTCTCGAGCTAAATATTGAGTTTAAAATAACTTTTTCACATTTTTTGTAACACAGAATTTGTTGATACGCAACATTTTAATCAAAAAGAGCTAAAGTAAAAACTATTTTAAAGAAGATTGTAAAATTAAGGTTTTATGCAACCGGGGTGAAACTGCTGGATGCTAAAAACAGTAAATCAAGTAGTTGCACTTGATAATAAATTAATTAACATAACAGAATACACTAAATTGGTATGTTCTGTCAAAAATATATGTAAAAAAATTTATATCTGTCAAGTATAATTATATTTAATTAGTTGATTTAAATGAAAATATCTCAACTACTATACTCAACTGAACCTTGTGCTATATTTTGCTATAAAATGCTCTTATATCCCAAGATATTATAGGCTTAGCATAGGAACTGCCACAAATATTCATAAAAACTAATCTAATGTAGCGTCCGCTATTGACTTACACTTTCGCGTACCGAAGTTTTAGTTAAGCGCTGAGAAGGCGGTGACTAGATTTAATCTTGTATTGCACAACAATCTTGGTTATATTTATTGGCTGGTTATAGCGTCAAACAAATTGTTTGACGCTATAGCCACCTGAGCTAGCCAGCCGTTTTATAAAATTTTTTGTATTATTGTTTAGAATTTTAATTTTTAAAATTTCTTTATCGCCGTCAGAAATACTTAAATTCCAAAGACAAGGCGCGATATTCTTATTTACATAGATAAGAACTCCACCATCGAGTTTATTATTTTGTATCTCTAAAGATATTCAAAATTAGGAAGATGAAAATTTGTGTTATCAAAACTTATCGTATTAAAATTAAACAAAATATATTAAAAAAGTTTTTAGTTTTTTAATTAGATCACATATTTTTTTTCAAAATTACGACTTAAGCTTCTAATATTAATGAGAAAGATTCTTATCTGACCATTTAAAACTTTTTAAAAAAAAATGTGAACATAGCCTAAGCAATATGTTCGTTAAAAGATGTTTTTCCAGCAAGTTTGGTCTATTAAGCCACCGAAAATCCTATAAACTTACACACAAAAATTTAGATGACACCAATTTATGTAAAGAAACAAGACAATAAAATTTTTTGTTAGGAAAATAATAAAGCCATGCAAACTCTACAACAAAGCAACACGAATTTTTTAGCCTTTGTTTCCACAAAAAAAATTGAATTTCTTATGCTAATTAGAAAACTCAAGTAAAAAAATACTACTAAAATTTTTACTTCATTGCCTGCACAACCTTTTTTTTTAGTTTTATGAGTTTTGAGTTGCGGACTGACTAACGTCTTTTTGTATGATTTGAAACAATTTCATTTAACGACAAGCCATTTAATTTTGATTCAATAGGGCAAGAGAATCATTATAACAAATTAAGCAAAATGGATTTTATAGATAATTTATTCACTTTAGGCAAAAATAATATAAAGAGAACCAAGTTTTTCTTATAAAATTATTTATTTTTTTTATAAATCTTTTTTTAATCCAAGTATCAGACAAAATCAAACTATATTACATAACACATAAAACATAAGTATCAGACAAAATCACTATATTACATAACACATAAAACGCGAAAGGCAAGACTTTACAAAACAGTTGGAACAAATGTGTTAAGTATTTACAAGTTCATCTTATTATATGGCTTTTATGTAAAACTACCCATTTTACAGGACCTAAACATGCCTAAAAAATTATAAAAATTAAAAAACAAATTATTTACGTTTCATTATACATAATATACACGGAAAAATGTTCTACACCAACAGTCATTATCGGTACACCAACAGTCGTTTTAAAAGTTTATTATGACTCACCTGAGTTCATGTTTCAGAATAAATTAAATGTAAAAAATTAAAAAAAGATTTTGAAAGACTTGCAACTTTCGAATTTCACACATTAGTTTTTTAGTCTAATTAAAGTACTTCCCGTGTAATCTCTGGTGCCTAATTTACAATCCAAAATATCTTTTCTATTCAAAAGTAAGTCTCTTAGTTCATAATAAATATTCAAATGGCTCAAAACACTCGTATTTCACGTTTCTGTAAACAGTAAAAACGTTAAAATCAAATCAAAAATTTCACATTAGTTTTTACTTCAGTTAATTTAATTCCATAATCTCTTTATAGTCGTTTAAATTAATTACCAAAAAAAAACCAAAAAAAACGTTCGAGCTTTTATATAACTCTTGCCCCTAAAGTAATTAGCTAAAATTTGAAATTCGTAGATATCACCACACATTTATAAACAAAATAAAACAGAGTTTCAAGATTTTTAAAAAACAAATAAACCAATCAGAACGCGCAAAAAAGAAGTCGGTATTTTTTGAAAACGAAAGAGCCTAAACGCAATACTTTCCTTCAGATCTCTCTTTATTTACGCTGAGTAGGTAGACTAGATACTAGATAAAAACATAAAACAAAAATAGCGAGGAAGATGAGATTCTATAAGTTAGTTTTTTTCCTGAATTAGTTAAATAGCTATGATATCAGGGTTCGATTTCTATGCAACTATTTAATTTTCAGTGAAAATAAGAAAATAAATCAGTGGGCAAAAAAACACCTTATAAAACATTTCATTTAAATATTGATACATTTACAACTATTTTACATAAGATTACACATTTCATTTATAAAAAACTATTTCTAACAAACAGGTCATTTATACAATTATCAAAAGTATAGTTGGGGGTCGGTGGATGAGGGGTAAAGGTATTGTGAAGATAATAAAAATTTAAAATAAGGTATAAAAGTAGTAAGGGTGAAAACACATTACCTAAAAACGTGCTTAAAAATGCATCACTGTATACTAAGTTTCATGTTATTGATATTCATATATGCTTCGAAGATAGAGAAGCAATATATCTAAAAACATTTTCAACAGTATCATTCTCATCAACATAAATATTACTCCATTATGAATAATAATGATTAAATAAGACATGAAAAATAAAAACAACAAGATAAAAAAAAAAAATTTTATTAAAAATGTTAACCCACCCTTTGCTTTTAATGACTCCTCGACACTTGATGACGACTGCATATCGAATAACCCAATTTGTTTCCCACAGCAAATTATTGGTCGGATCAACGGACTTGATTAAATTGTCAACAGCTATTTCTCCTAACATTACTATGAAATTTTTTAAGTTTTATACAAAGAGATGAAAATAAAATTGAAGACATCACTTCACAGCTAATGTTAGTTTTTCAAACTATATTATTATTTAAAAACAATTATTTGAATAAATAATTTTTGGAACAACCTTACCTGAATAAAGTTCATTTCAGCCTTTAAAATAAACTTTTCTTTGCCCTATACCGTTCCCTTAGAAAAACGGACGAGTGGAAACTTACCTTTATTCAACTCATTTAAAAATAGTAAAATTGTAAAAAATGTAACTTTTCTGATTTTTTTAATCGTTTTTATTAATACTATGTTATTATTATTATTATTTTTATTATTATAGCTATTAATATCAATATGCTAAAATCATATAACAAAGTTCTATAATCTGATGAAAATTTAACTTGAAAAAAAAATTATAAAGAAAGTTCTTTATTCTGATGAAAGTTTAACTTAAAAAAATCTGATGATGCACAAAGAGATTGACGACAGTTAAAACAATTTTGTATTTTAATTGAATTGAAAATACGATTTAACACATTTCTAAAAAAAACTGCATTGCTTCTAAACCTGTGTAATAACTGAATATTTCTTTAATTTATTTACTATATGAAGTCCAACATTAACCCATTTACTATATGAAGTCTAACCTTAGTTCATTTTATTACGCGACCGGGGTTGAAATTTGACTAGGGCCAGGTATGATAAAATATAGCCGGAGACGGGTTTAAGAGCGAGGCTGTTATAAACATTATACATCCTAAAGTATATATTTTTTTATTCAAAATTCATGTTATATTTAGTATATATACGTCTATATAAACATCATTATGATCAACATGATCATCAAAATCATCATTGTCATGATCATCATGATCATGATCATAATTATCACTCTCATCATTAATATCATCATCTCATCATAATCATCATCATCTTCATTATGAATATCATCATCATAATCATAATCATCATCATCATCATCATCATCATCAGGCTTTAGCCTTCCTTATTTTTGTTTCTCTAATATAAACCATCTAGATCATATGCTTTTCTTAACTAAAGCTCATTTATACAATATGTATAAATGAGCTTTAGGCACTCTCATCAGGTTTTCTTACTTCTACCTTTACCATTTAATCCTGATGCTGCTACATCTCTACATGCTGATACCTAAATCACTTTAATCTTTTCTAATAAACATTCGATAAAACGTTTTTCTCTAATCTGTCCTTATAACTCTTATCCACCTTCATGTTTTCCTTTTATATACAACCTTTTTTTTTCAAGTCTTCAGTTAACCATTTCCTAGCTTTTAAACCCTATCCATTATATTTTAAAGTAATTCGTAAATTAATAGTGATTACTTACAATCTTGTTGGAAATAAATAAGAGTTTTAAAATATAAATATATGCCAGTATTTGATAAATAGTAAATGTAAGTATAAACTTATAATATATTAAGTATTATAAATTTTTTCCCAGTCCCGGCTAACAACCCTTGCTAAATTTTATAAATTTGCCGGTACCAGGTTTGCAAAAAGTCTCATTTTTAGCCAGAGATGAGATCCCAATCACTTCCTAGTTCATTTACTATATGAAGTATAACCTTAGTTTATTTACTACATGAAGTTTAATTTTACTTCAATTATAAAGCCCAACTTTAGCTCATTTACTATATAACGTCCAACTTTATTTTACTTTCTGTATGAAGTCTAACTTTATTTTACTTTCTATATGAAGTTCAACTTTATTTTATTTACTATAAGAAGTCCAACTCTGGTTTATTTACTCTAGTCTCCAGACATTAATTGAAGTTTAATTTAAAAAAATTGTTTATTTGAAACAAACCTTGTTGATCTCCATGTGTATGTAATATAATATTGTTTTCTTTTGCAAATGCAACCAAATCCTGGAAAATTAAGAACATCAGTAATTACAATTAAAATTCTAAATAAAATAAAAAATCAATAAATACTAAAAGATTTAAAAAATATACTTGTGGCATGTGGCAACATGATGTAAGATTTACTTGATTAATCATTGGAGGAATCTAAAAAAAATTTGTAATGTGCCAATTTTTGTTATTATTTGTTACTAAAATTTGCAGTTATTATTCATTAGCACCTGCAGCCATCAAACTACAAACAATGCAGTCATTAAAGAACAAAGATACAACTGGGTAATTTCAAGAGTAATTTTCTAGTACTTTCAATACCGTGAAATGTGGTTATTATGGAAAGTGGGGTAACTTTAGACAAAAACTTTAAGTATAACTCTTTCTAGTGTTTAAAGGGTTTTGGCGTCTTTTTAAAAAAATTTCTTAAATGTAGATTAAGTTTACTAAACAGAACAACATAGAAAATACAATGTATTCTGAGCAGTGAACCAATCTAATAGTAGGTTAAAAACTGACTGGTAGACATTATTTGGATAAAAATAAAATTAAACATTAGCTCCCTTAGTATAAAATTTAAAACATATCTTTGTATAAAACTTTTTAAAGATATTTTTATTTAATTAAACATTTCATGACATGATTTTAATCTTTTTTTTGACAGTCGAATGATCCAAAAAAAAATTCAAAGTCATTTAAAACTATATCGTGATTATAGGGTTAATTTGGACACTGTATAAATTTAAATGTCATTTTTTTTCAATTTATTTATTTAAATGTAAAATATTTGCTTAACCTCATCTCAATCAATTATATTTGATGCAACTTGTTATTCTATTATTTTCAATGTTACAGTGTATATGTAATTTTTATTAATCTCTAATGTTTAAAATCTCTTATATTTCTCCTATCACATTTAGATTCATAAAAATATATCAATTTTTTTAAATTATTCACCAAGAAGGCCACTACAGTCGATGAGGCTACTTTTGTCATAAATCATCCAGGTCATATTTAAAAAATCCAGAAAATTGTTTGGGTAAAATATCCGGAAAAAATACAGAATATATTTTCCTCCTAATTTTGATTTTGCTGAATTGTTTATAATTATTTTTTGTTGATGTTGCATTTTACAGACCATTAAAAATGAAACGGAGATCAATATTAAATGAATGATAAAAAAGTTCTAAGAAAAGCACTATAATTACCAAAGACAGGTTACCTTCATTGTTGAAAAAACTGTTAGAAGTGTGGACAAGTTGAAAATAAACTTTTTTCTTATAATTTAGTTTCTAGGTTTAAAAAATGAAGAATATTGCAACTGGACTGAAATGCAATTCTTTCTCATATACCAAATGCACCACTTCCTGGAGATTCTTTCAAAGATTTGAACATATATATATATATATATATATATATATATATATATATATATATATATATATATATATATATATATATATATATATATATATATAAAGACACATTAGTATATATAATAACAAACTTATTTTGTAGTTATTTGATATAGCTTTTATGAAAAAAAACTTAGTTGTTAATATAAAGCATACAGCTGCATTAGTAATATTTCTGTTAATTGAACTTATTTAAAAATAAGGTACAAGAAAAAAAAAATTAAAAAAAAAACTACATAAGTTTTAAATATCAGAAGGGAAAATAGGATAAAAATATTAGGAAATTATTAGGAGTCAAAACATTGAATTTTATGATTAATGTAAAAACTGTTTAAAGTAACCACATTTTACAGTACCTTGAGTTAATAAGACTCTATTATATAATTCTATGAAACACTACAAAAAATGTCTTTTAATCTTAAATTTGTTCATTATTTAATAAGTTACCTTACATTAAGAGAGTTCAGCATTTGTTTTAAATTTTTCATTTTAAAAATAAAATAACATTTAGTATTAGAGAAATTAAGTTTTAAGATTAAAATTTTTTTTAAGGTTTCAAGATTTAATATTCTTGTTTTCAAAGTTAATTGTGAGCAGCCCTGGCGCAGTGGTTAGAGTTCTGGCTCAGAACCCAAAGGTCCAAGGTTCAACGCCAGCTCCAGCCCAACAAGCGACATTGGTACGGAAGGAGACGTGAACTTCCTGTTAAATGCTCTCCTGCGGTGCTCTATGATAAGACCGTAAGGACTTCTGGGAGCACCTAAATACATACCAAAAAAAAAATTGTCTTCAAGTTTCAAGGTTACTTTAAACCTATAATGGCTGTCGCAATAATAAATTTTAAGGTTTCTTCAAACCTATAATAGCTATCACAATAACAAATTTTTAGAAAACTTTATCTATTTGACTTACAGAAGCTTTTTCAATAAGTGACTGTAGCTTTTGTTGATCCAAATCGCATGAAGATATCATTTTAGCAACACCACTTCTGTTTAACTTTTCCATTACCTAATAAATTAAACTTTTTTATTTAAAATATCTAAAATTTGTTATTTATATATGAAGTATTTTTATTATAATTTACGAACTCTATAAGTATATAAAATTTATAAAAAAAAGTCTATGAGTATATAAAACTTATTTATTATTCAAAACAACAAACAAAAATGCAACTTTTAGTTAAGCAATTATAGTATGTGTTATATATAATAATATATAGCATATATTAAAGTATAAACAATAGTAAATAGTTTGTAGTATATAAAATAGTATATATTATAATATATTTCTTAGACACTAATTGTTCACTGTTTTATAAACTTTTTCATATTTGTACATAGCATGTTGCACGCAGCATGTAATCACATTGACTAATTGATTAATAATGCAGAGCTTACTATATTATACTAAAGTTAAAAACAGCAAATCTGATATATAACACTCTAAAAACATACAGCAAATATAGATATGATATATAACACTCTGAAATTATATAGAAAATATAGATATGATATATAACACTCTAAAAACATACAGAAAATATAGATCTTATATATATTTTTTTATTGAACAATATGTAAAAAACTCTAAACCAATACATTTTGGGCACACAGTTCAATATATTCATTTATAGGCCTTAAACTTGAACTACATAAAAACAATGAAAAATAAATAAAATAAATTTTTTTTGTTCATTTTTGTGGTCAGATTTTTATACAGGACTTTTTAAGTAACCTTTGTATAATCTCTCCTAATATAAGTGCAATCCTACAATTTAATATAAATGCAATTCTACAATTCAATATAAGTGCAATCCTACAATTCAATATAAGTGCAATCCTACAATTCAATATAAGTGCAATCCTACAATTTAATATAAGTGCAATTCTATGATTCAATATAAGTGCAATTCTACAATTCAATATAAGTGCAATCCTACAATTTAATATAAGTGCAATCCTACAATTTAATATAAGTGCAATCCTACAATTTAATATAAGTGCAATCCAACAATTTAATATAAGTGCAATTCTACAATTCAATATAAGTGCAATCCTACGATTCAATATAAGTGCAATCCTACAATTTAATATATGTGCAATTCTACGATTCAATATAAGTGCAATTCTACAATTTAATATAAGTGCAATCCTACAATTTAATATAAGTGCAATTCTACGATTCAATATAAGTGCAATCCTACAATTCAATATAAGTGCAATCCTACAACTTAATATAAGTGCAATCTTTCAAAATCCTGAGATTCCAAATAATGTTATTAAAAATTTTTAATTGAAAATATTGTAATAAAAAAACTTTTCTACATTACTATCACTACATAAATCACATGCCATCTGTTATTTTTCCAATCTTAAAATACATACATATTTTTAACAAAATACTATAAAGTAAAAAACATAAATATAACAAAATACTAAAAAGTAAATATTAAAAATAAATAAAGACATTTGAGCTATTTCAAAGTTCATATTAAATAAATAAAGAATTTAATTGATGAAAAAATATAATGAAAAATTGAATTCAAAATATAACTCATCTCAAAAAAGTATATTTAACTCATGATTTGAGTCCAATTTTGTGAGGTTTGTAAAATTTGCCTATATTTCCTTTGTACTTTCTGTTTACATTCATATCATAAAAAAGTATAACAAATATTACAACATAATGATGTTTGTTATACTTTTCATTTTTTAATATAAATTACAAGTATATCATATAAAATTATATCTCCATCATCAAGTATATCATATTATCCTCACTATCAATGTGGTAGTGGTAGAACACTTCATAAGTGAGAAGTTCTGAGTTTGTTTCTCTGCTAACCGGCCTTATTCATCAAGGTTCATGTTTTGGAGTTACTAAGTTGAGAGAGGTTGTAACCACAACTAAAATAGCTTTTATTTAAATAAATTTTGTTTTCTAACAATATAAGCTTTTTTGTATCACCATCATCAATCAATAAGATCTTCTTTTTATAACCATCATCAATCAATAACAATTTCTTTTCAAACTAAATTTCAATATCATAAAACTGTAATAATTCAGAAAACAAAGAAATAAGTGGAATTTTAAACTTGTCAAAGATTCAACATTTTATCATGCTATAGACTGAAACAAAGTTATCAAATTTATAAAACTGCAGGCATACTAATCACCTGTTTGTATATGAATGCAATATTAAACAATGAAATAGAATGCAAAATTAAAAAATAAAATGTAAAGGTTTATAGCATTACAGAGTCATGAATCTTTCATCTGATAATGGAATAATCATGGAATAATGATTTAAATAGACATTCAATTATTTATAGGATCATTGTTGAGAGCAATAACCTTCTATATTAATGAATTAACAGTGCTGTTGCAATATAAGATGTTGATTATATTGCAACACCACTGTTAATTCATTATAAGATGATTCATAAAAAACTTAATAATCATAACAACGTAATAACCTAATACCAATAAATCTGCCATAATATGTTTATTGATAACCATAATATGTTTATAGATAACTTAGGATGTCTAAGGATGTCTAAAGAAATCTAAGGATGTATAAGGATATCTTGATTAATATAATTTATTTCAATTTTGCAAAAGTTTTTAACTCTGTGCAGATGGTTAAGTATAAAGCTTTCCTGAAAATAAAGAGTTATTATAGAAGAACATGTTTTACATTTTAAATATAATTCTTGGTGACAATAGTGATAAATTTTAAATAATGATATATTTTGAATGATATATTTTGAGTGATATATTTTGAATGATATATTTTGAATGATGTATTTTGAGTGATATATTTTAAATGATATATTTTGAGTGATATAGGCACTAAAAACAATATAACTGTTAACTTACAATAAAATAATAATGTAACTTTTTTCCTAAAATATTATTTAAAAAATGAAAAAAATAATTTTTGGAAAATTCAATTTTTGATTGATGCCTGACTACTTTATTAGAAAAAGGAAATCACACTAATTTGATTCAGATGTAAAATGTATTTAATAACATTGTAAAAGTAGAATTAACTGAAGAAGCTAGGCCAAAAAATAGTTAATCAGCAAGAAGTTATCAGAATTTTATTGTAAAACTATGAGATTTTTGCTGAGATATAATTTCTTAACAAACCCACCTTCTATATTATTTTGAAATCTCTGAAACATTTTTATACAAAACATGACAATTAAATTTTAAATAATTTAAATATTAAATATTAGGAATACTGTTAACTTTTATTAAGTAAACTTTTTACTATCACAATGATTGTAGCAAAATTATTTTTATTTACTAAACTAAAAACTTTGTTAATAAAATCAAAACATTTTCAAAATACAAACAAATTATCAACCTCCCAATATGGTAATACAACTTGCTGGAATGATTCTTCAGACTCTTCCAATGGTGGCAATGCCAAAATGAGAGTATCAAAGTAAGTAACACTCAATAAATCTAATGCTAAATAATGTATTTTCATTAGCAACAAAATTTGCAACAAAAAAATATATGTATATGTATGCACTTTTCAAACAAAAAAATCCCACTAGTTTAAAATCTATGGATCTCTTATTTAAAAAAGACCTTTCTATAAAATAAATATCAACTTTACTTTACTTTTGGATATAAATAATATTAATAATAATAATATATACATATATACAAATATATATATATATATATATACATATATATATATATATATATATATATATATATATATATATATATATATATATATATATATATATATATATATATATATATATATATATATATATATATATATATATATATATATATATAGTCCTGCATTGTAGTCGAAAAGTTTCTTCCATAAAATAGTTTTAAATCCAATGTTAATAAAACAAAATTTAAAAACTAGAACATATTATTTTTAATGATAGATTGCTTGCCTAAAGGGAACCCTTAGCCAATGTAGTGGCACTTCCTAGTAGCAGCAAGCTATAAGATAATCGATGAAGCAGCATGTTTTAAAAATATTATTTTTAAAACATGCTGTTCATCTTCTCATGTTTTAAAATATTATAAAACAAATAAAATCAAAAACTAAAACACTATTAATTAAAAAAAACTTTCTAACCATTATTGCGGGTTTTTATAAAACAATTAAACTAAATGCACATATACATTATTTGTTTTAACTTTTAAACGACATTAAAATGTTGCTTTAATGTTAAAACAAAGCGTTGAAAGAGACCTGCCGTAAAAAAATTTAGCAGAAACATTGTCATATGTAGGCATTTTTTTTAAGAAAAAAAAGATTCTCAATTTCGAATTTGGGAGATGTCACCTATATATAAATATGCTATTTACTATAGCATATTTATATGCGCAATTGCTCACTTTTTTGCTAGCCTAAATTAAGTGAGCGTTTTTAGAAAACAATGAGGGAAAACGAAGAATAATGAATGAAAAGGTTGCTGAACCATACCAAACCCTCAGTCGATGTAGCACCACTCCACTGCGAGTCAGGCTATTTGTCAGTCGACGTAAGTACTGAAGCCCTCACAGCAGGCTATTTCAGTATGACATCATCATGCTCACCTAACTCAGCAGTATAAGATATATATATATATATATATATATATATATATATATATATATATATATATATATATATATATATATATATATACACACATATATATATATATATATATATATATATATATATATATAACATAATAGTCATTTGCGATTGAATAAAAATTATTTGAAATTTAATATAAAATCAAAATGGTGAATCTGATTTAAAAAGTCACAATTTTCCTTCAAGTTTTTTCATGAACCTTTTTTTTTAAATGCTATTTTAATTACTAACTTAAACACTTACTTGTATTTACAGCACTTTCAATAAAATCTGTTTTGAATTTATGAAGAAGAATTTTTACTATAATAAAAGTTATATTAAAAAAAAAACTTATTTGACGAAAAATTGGAGTAATAAAAAGATTAAAATAAAAGATCATCATATTATAATTAAAAGAATTTATAAAAAAATTTGTTTTGTAAAATAATTCGAAATATTATTTTAATTTTTTTTACAATTACATAATTGCTATTAAAATTATTTCCAGCTATAATTGAATTATTGTTAACAATAAATAAACTTAATTTCATATTTAACCTGTTATTGTGACAAGCGGTCTTTCTTCATCATTATTGTAATAATCATCAAGAGCTTCACAGCACTTTTCCTAATTATAAATAAAAAACTTTTCTAGCTGGTTACACTAAGGCTGGCTACAAAAGAGATTTTTCTTATGCAACAATAACTTCAGAAAAAATAATAATGGAACACAAGGACAAATAATTAAAACAATGACAAACCTGTTGTGGTTGCAAAAGGTGTTTATCAAATTAGTTTAATCATCTTTATTTTAAATTTTATAATTGAACTTTTTTATATCTAAAAAAGTTTATCTTTTTTATATCTTTTTATATCTACTTATTGATAATTAACTTTTTTTTTGACGAAGTACTTAAGTAAACAGATTTTTTAAAAGCACAAATAAACTTTAAATAAACTCATGTTTTCATAAACTTTTAGATGCAGAGGAATCCCAATAATACATTATAGGATATTTAAATAGATATTTATTTAAATAGATATTTCTATTTTTTATTGAAACTAATAAATTATTTTTTACAAAACTGTTTAATGATTGTTTAATGCTTCAAATATAAAATTAATGAGTTCTTAATTGCTTATCGCTTTTTAATATTACTGTTTTTAAAATCTTTCTTTTCTACCTTTTCCTCCCATTAACTCATTAACTTCAAAATGCAAACCTTGAAGCAAACTAAGCATTGTAACAGACAAGATTGTTAACCTGCCAAAATCTTTAGTTATGAATTAAACAGAGTAGTTTAAAATATTTAATAAATCAAATTCACCTCATTATCATTGGAGGAATTAGCATTCCATTTTAATAATGTGGTCTGCAAACTTTGAAAAAGCTAAAAATAAAAATTATTCATTATATTTTTAATTTTGTATGATTTTATCACTTTAAATGTGTATTAAATCACTTTAATTTTATGATTTATCTTTAAAGTTACTTTACAGATCATAAAATCTAACCTCATTAGCAGGGACTTGAGCTTTTCTTGATTTTAGATTATGCCAGTTTGCAACATTACCAGTGTGTATTACCAAATTTATAGGTGATTTAAGTACAGAGATATCTTGTGGTCCATTTCCTTTATCAATTAAAATTTTTTGCAATGATATATCTTCTGGCATGTTTAAAATTGCATCAACAGGCTATTGTTTATATAATGCAACATTATACAATGCAAAATATATAATAATATAGTAATAAATTACTAAAGTAAAAAACAGTAATAAAAATAGTAATTCAATTTAATAACATTTATATAACAAATAATGTTATAAGTATCATAATAAATATGAAATGTTTATGTACTAATTAATAAAAAAAAAAGTATTTTAACATACTATATATCATATAAAAATGTTAGTGTATGAATTACTAAAATTAAAATAATATTGTCAAAATAATATGTAAAATTGTTAACTAAAAAATAATATGTAAAATTGTTAACTAAAAAATAATATGTAAAATTGTTAACTAAAAAATAATATGTAAAATTGTTAACTAAAAAATAATATGTAAAATTGTTAACTAAAAAACATTTTTATTTATTTAATAGTTACGATGATCTGACATCTATGTCAGATCATCGTAACAAATAAAATTTAAGATTAAAAATCGTGTGATTTTTAATCTTAAATTTTGATTTTTAATCTTAAAGATTTTTAATCTTAAACTTAAAAATGTGTGATTGTTAATCTTAAACTTTAATTATTAAGATGATCTGACATCTATAGATGCCAGATTATTGTTACTATTAAATAAATAAAAGTGTTTTTTAGTTAACAATTTTTTGTCAATTGATTGTCTTATTCTGTTGATGTCACAACAATTGACTGTCTATAGACACATGTAAATATAAACACACTTCTTTTATTATACACTTTATTTAAAGCTCTATCCAAATTAAAAGAAAAACAGTTTGTTATGCCCATAAATAACTATTACAATTTATGTTAATTTGAAGACTTTAGAATAATGGCTAAACAAAAAAAAAGATATTTAAAATATATTAGGCTTCAGGTAAAGTGTAGGGCAGGAAAGAGCAGATGTAGGGCTAGGAAGACAAGTGTTTAAAGAATAGTAAAGGGTAAAAATATAGAATAAGAATAGTAAAATATAGAAAAAGAATAGTAAAATATAGAAAAAGAATAGTAAATGGTAAAAAACTTCTAGACAACTATCTTATTAAAGCTATATCTAATGATTATTAAAAGTGAATCAGATAAACCGTTTTTTCAGATTCATTTTAAAAGCAATAAATCCTAAAAACATAACTATTTTTTTTATTGCGCCTAAAAAACATTAACATGGTTTAATGACACTTTTAGATTTTTTCAGGTTTGTTTTATTTTTATTAATTTTTACTTAATAATTTTTACTATTCCAATAAAATATTTTAAAATATATCATAATTTTACCAGAAAAACTTCTAAATTAAAAGTCATTAACTAAAATAGAATAATATGTTGGTTTCTTAAACTTAAATTAAATTAGGTTATACTAACTTCAACAGTTAACTGTTAAGCAAGGAGAAAATCTTCTTTTTGAAAGAATCTAATTGTTGCATTGTGTAGAATGATGTAAAAATAACTAATCTTTACATCTGTATTTTATGAAAAACATATTTATGCAAACAAAAATACATTTATATCAATATGCAAATAATTTTTCTAATTATATATTTTAATAATTTTTTTTTCTTTCCATTTTATGGTTTAACATTGCATTTTTAGTTTTTAACTTACCGTTATTTACCGTTTTTTAAATTAACATTTCGTATCTAAAAACATTCACTACGCGATATTTACATTACGGTAATAAATTTTTCAGAAGCCTCTATTTGTGTTGCACAACCTCAGCGCAAAACCGTGAATTGTGTAGAATAGGGTGGATCAATTTGAAAATTGATTTACCTTAGTCGTTGTCTTTTAGTAACCTCAATTTTAAAAATTATAAACTTTTAACAAAAAATTTTTCCATTAGATGAGTTATTGAGGTTCTTAAGTTTATCATTTTAACTTTTTTTGTCTTTTCATATTTCACAGACCTGATCATTAGGGGCCATCCATAATATACGTACGCAGTAAAATCACTGAATTCGGACACATCCTCCTCCCCCTTGTACAAACCTGTAAGCATTCAAACGCCCCCCCCCCTCATCCGCGCGCGTACCTATGCATTTTTTTTTCAAAACAAGCCCTCCATCTTTTCCCCAACGCATAAATATTTAAAAACACTGCTTCTTTTTTTGTGTGTGTGTGTAATTTATTTCGCCATTAAAAAATGTTTACATCGCTTACAGATTTAAAAAATGTTTACTTCGCTTATAGATTCAAAATAGCAAATAATTAATACACTTTCAACCGCTAAAATGTATAAGAATACGTAAACAAAAATTTTCAAATAAAGAAATAATGTAAAATTTCATAATTAACATAATCACTAGATGAATTTTGAACATCATCACTTAAATTTCATTGGTATAAATAAATTTATTTTGAGCTTACTTTAAAAGAAACATTTAAATTCGGAAAAATTAAATTCCCTAAACAGTAATAATCTTTTTGATTCATTTGAAATGCTCTAAAATCTAATAATCTTTTTTGAATTGCTCTAAGGTAGCCTTTTTTCTGTTGACTATATGTGGGAATTTTTTCCACAGATAAGGTCCACGGTATTTATTTGAATAGGAGGTTAGTTTTAGATTATATTTGAGTAGAACAAAGTTGTTAACTGAAGCCTTAATTGAGTACTTATGATTAATTTTATTAAAATAGATTTAGAAGATTTTTGGGGATAATCCTATTTTAATTTTAAACATAAACAATAAAACAGTTGAATCAATTGAGTTTATACACATTTAAAGCACCGAGCGCATGTAAAAGTGGTTCTCAACGAGTATTTCTACAAGCTCTAAACACTATTTTGCACGCATGTTTTGTTTATTGTAAATTCTTAAGTTTTGTATAGCCAGTACTAGTCCACACAATATTACAGTAAGACAAATAGCTGTAAATAAAGCAAAATATAATTTTTTTAGGGATGTTACATTTAGGAAAGGTTTAGTTTTAAACATCATTGCGATATTTTTTGAGAGTGTCGTTTCAATACTATTTATTGTGAATGCCAAAGTAAATTTTTATCCAGTTTTATTCCTAAAAAGTTTACGTATGTTTCCCCTTTAATATGACTTTTATTAATTTTAAGATTAGGTAGTTTAAGAGGAATATTTTCTGATTTATTGAGTTTATGGAAAAGTATATATTTTGTTTTATCCACATTTAATGAAAGTTTACAAACCGTTCTTTACTGTTTATTCACTAATTAAAAAAGTGTTTTAATATCTCTGTGAGAACAAAAAAGATCGGAATCATCAGCACACAAAATTAGGTTTAAAAGATTTGTTGCTAAGTATAAGTTGTTTATGTACAATAGAAATAAGAGTGCTCCTAAAATAGAGCCCTGTGTATTTAATTCAAGTGGTTGGTGAATTGATGTGTAATTAACTAGTTCAAATTCATAATTTTTTTCAACACTTTTTACACCAAGTTTCCGTCACACATATAATTTGTTTCACCACTTTTACACCAAGTTTCCGTCACACATATAATTTTAAAATCATGTTTATCACCGAGAGTGCCATTTTCATTTGAAATTTTAATTATGAAATTTTTCTTTATTTTTAAAACAGTTTAACATGAAAATAAGTTATAGTAAAATAAAATTCCGTTAATTAATAAAAGTATTATGAAAATGAACTTTTGCTTTTCTTTGCTACCCAATCGCGAATTATCAGTTTATCATAAGATGTGTTAGCAAACTTACCAGCCGCTCGATCGATTTTCATTTTCTCCCTCAAACTTTTTTTTGATTTGCGTTGTTTCAGAACAAAAATCCTCTTTTAGATAAATATTTTTTCCTTTCGGATTGCTTGACTTGTTCAAAAATGCAACTTTATCTTTAAAATCTAAGAGTTTTGTCACTATTGTTCACGGCTTATTTGGTTCTTTTTTTCCAGTTCTATGGGCCCGTTCAATTTGGACATTTTTAATAGATAATAATTTTTCAAAAACTTTTTTTACCTTGAGCTCGCTTTCCTCGCAGCTTTCACCTTCGTTTTCATTAATTCCATCTATCCTTAAATAATTACGTCGAGATCGATCTTCTATCTCCCTTAATTTTTTTGTATTTCGAAATTACGAAATAATATATAATTTAGATAAAATAATATATAAATAAGATTGTAATTTCGGAATTTTCTTCTTTACTGCAAACATTTGCTTTCTTAACTTTTTCATCGAATAAGTTGTTCATGTAAACTTAAGCTATGGTTCAATTCTTCTATATCTTTTTTGACTTTTTCCAATCTGCCATTAAATTTTTCAGGTTTCTACTAATAATATTGATAAAACCTTTTTCTGTTTTTTTAACATCAACTCGAATTCTATAATAAAAAACATTAGAAACAAAAAAAAATGATAAAAACCAGTTTGCGTTCATTAGTTTAGTCAAACCGCGTACGTACTCACTGTCTTTAACACCCCTCCCCTCCTCCTTTTGTATGCGTTCGTACACCTTTTAGAAACCCTCTTCCTCCCCCATAGCCGCGTACGTACTTTATGGATGGCCCCTTAAAGTAAATATATTGTAGTTAACAAATTATCACACAGACGCTATAATATTTTAAAATTGTCTTAATTACACCGAGTACGCAACTTTTTTGAAATATATTATAATGTTACCTAATTTAAAACCTACTTTCCTTCATTGGCTAATTTATAATAAGAATAACTATGAAGTTTGTTAAATGATTTAGCAAATCGAAATGGTTTTTTTTTTCGAAACTAATTTAACTTTTCGAAATTCAGTTTTCGCTATTCGATAGTTTTCGAAAGTTTTTACAAAATCCGAAAAAAAAATTTTATCGATAACGTTTTATTCATAATTTTTCGAAAATTGTGTTTTCGAAAATGAACCCTAAATAAAACCGTATTTCTGGTTAGATTTTTTAAAAAGTGACGTCTCATGTGCACAAAAATTGTGGCTTGAACGATTTACGAAAAATCATATATATTCTGAAAATAAATTTTCGCGGCTATTTACAGATAGTATTGAAATACTAATCTCAAGTAAATACCTAAAAAAAAAATAATTTATATACATGATATATATACAAAAATAATGTAATAAAATATACAATTAATCTTAGTAATAA